CCACGTGGGGGCTCCAGGCGTGGCGACATGTTCCCAGAACAAGCCCCCAAAGACTGCTCCCCGCATGGGCCTTAGTCCGGCCCCAAACTGGCCTAAGCGGCACTCCCGGCCTGGCTTCTCCCCCAAACATATTTGGAGGGGACTCAGACATCCTCTGAAAATTGGAGACAGGCTGTCGTCATACCCAAGCCTCAAGACGGCCTCAACTCGAGTGCCCAGATGTCTGGTTTCCTTACTCACCCATCGCGGCTCCGCTCCTACTTGGCGGCGGCAGCGGCAGCGGCAGCGGCAGCGGCAGCTTCAGCAGACAATATGGCGGACCTGCAAGACGGCAGCCCGAAACGGACAAACAACTTAACATTCAACCCCGGGAAGAAATGCGCTCTCAGCCCCACAGCCTAGCTTACCCAGAGGAACGGTCTTAAAGGGACCGCAGCTAAAAAGGTGGGGAATAGGGATGGGATCTGAAACGGGTGGATGGAGAGAGACTGGGTAGGGGATACCTACTAAAGAAAGTGTGCCTAGGATTTCTGAGCTTTTTCTGCCTCTATTTCCTCTTTATAGTGAGGAAATAGACTAGACACGTTTTCTCTCAGGATGCAATCCTTACTTTTTTAGTTAAAGCCAATCATAGACCCAGCTGGATATGAATAAGGAATTATCAGAAGAGGGGAAGTGACTTGCTCAAGGATATAGAGATAAGGAAATAAAGAAGTCAGGAGTAAACAGGCTTACAGTTTTATTGGGAGATGAAAAGTATAAAATAATAAGACTAGTGCAGTGCTTTATAGTTGACAGAGCTATTTCGTTTATCCTCGCAGCAAGCTCTCTGAGAGCAGGGATTGGTTTTGTATTGTTCATCACTATCTCCAGCACCTAGTACAGTATCTGGCACATAGTATGTGCTCCATAAATAATTGTTGAATGAATAAACAAAACGAACAGGTCTGTGAGTTACACAAAGCATGGGAAATGATTTCCCTTTTTAGAGTTGAAGAAATTGAAGCTCTGAGTGTTCATGTACCTTTTGAATTATGGAATTTATGCCAGTACGTACACATTTGGCCTCTTTTTGTATGACAGGCCAGTCCTCCTGTCTCCCACTTTCACAAACAGAGGAAGGCTGTATTTCCAAGTCACGGGTCCCAAGAGGGAGCTGTCTTTTGGAAGCAGAATGAGGGACCTGGACTTCCAGGTCCTATCACAACAAATTGCCAACTCTAGTTGTGTGCCAGGCCTATTAAGGAAAACAACTCAAAAAGCCAACTCTTGGGTCTGCCGAGTGGCATGTTGGTTAAGAGTTGGCTTGGGACGCCAGCTCTGAGCAGCAGGGCCCCATTTCGGATCCCACATGAGGGCCAGTGACGCTGCGCCCTCTACAGCTAAGATGGTGAACAACAGCTTGACCTGGAGCTGGGCTGCCATGAGTAGCGGCAACGGCGTAGGCTGCAACCCCTGCTGCAGTGGGCTGCCGTGAGGTACCGTGAGTGTCTGGCAGAGCTGCTGTGAGCGGCTGCCCAATGGCCGGCAAGTGACTGCCTCACCCAGGAAGAGCGCAATGATAATACCAACACGGGCCAGTGAAACAATGTCCTCCACAACTAGACTGAAGAACAAAAGGACAGCAACTTGTCTGTTCCCCTTCCCTGATTCCCTAATGCTGCTCCCCTCCCCCAACTCCCCAATAAAATCGTTAAAAAAAAAAAAGCCAACTCTTGAATTTAGGGTCAGGAAAGGAAGTACAGTAAAACCTTGGATTACGAGTAAAGTGGTTTGCGAGTGTTCTGCAAGGCAAGCAAACATTTCTAATACATTTTAACGTAAACGATGTCTTGCAATACGAGTTGTTTCCAGAACAAATTATGCTCGCAAACCAAGGCATTACTGTACTATCTTTCTGCTGCCCCTGTTCAATGTCAGACCTCTTCATCCTCCCCTGGTCTATTTTGCCTGCCTCCTCACTGGTTTCCAGCCTCCAGGCATTCCCACTCACACCAACTATCTCTTTAAAAGGAGATACCTTATCATGTCAGTCCTCTGTTTAGCAACTTCCTACTACCTGCCCTTAGGTAATGCCCAAACATTTCAATCTGACACACAGGCTGATCCTTACTAGCTTCTTGGGCTACTCCCCACCAGGCAGCCCAGGCTCCATCTATATTTGGGGAATCATGGAATCATTCCCACCCCCACCCCGGTTTGCTATGCCTTTGTCCCTTTGACTATGCTGTTCCCTCTGCTTGGAAAGTAATGCCCTCCCTTCCCCCTTGACCATGGGGTGAACTACTCACTTTCAAGATATTTTCTCACTTCCTTGAAAAAGCCTGTCTCTCCAGACAGTCAGGGATGTCTCTCCTTTCTGCTCCCCAGTGCCCTGGACACATGTTTTCCTCAGCACTTAGCACCCTAATTTGCTTACAAAATATGTCTCTCTCAAGGTTGTCTACGGAAGAGATAGTATTGTGGACAAAAAAAGGGGCACTGTTGGGATGACTGGTTAGCTCAATTGGTTTAGAGTGCGGTGCTGATAACACCAAGGTTGCTGGTTCGATCCCCTCATGGGCCACTGTGAACTGTGCCCTCCTTAAAAGAGTCAACTATGCAATTGTAGCATGAAAGCAACGTGTAACCAATGACCATGGCTGTTCTGAAACAAAATTTTTAAAAAAAGGGGGTGGGGGTGGGCACTGTAATAAATCTAACCAAAGGTAACCTCCAGGGTGATATGATCATGAATTCCTAACTGGGCAGGTCATGGTGGGTAGTCACGCTCCAGGCATATAACTTTTTTTAGTAAAAGGTTCATCTTTGCCTTAAGCAAGCCCTATTCTTTTTGTGTATCTAGGTTAACACACCTTTGAAAATCAGAGTAACCCTCTTTTTCAGGCCCCTCTGAGGCATAACCGCCCTCAGGGGAGCACATAATCTTAGCTATCCTGTAGGCTGCTTTCTCCCACCTTCATGTAATCTTCCTTATGTTCCCCACTTAATTTCAAATGCATAAAAGAAATGCAAAACTGCCATTCTCTGGAGCATTTGAGATCTTGCTTTCCAGTGCTGTCATTGGTTTTGGCTCAAATAAACTCTTCCAAAATTTCTCAACAGATTTAGGCTTTCTTTCATTGATACTTTGTATCTGTCCCACTGACTAGCACAATGCCTACCTCAACAGAAGCGCCAAAAACATTCGTTGCATTGTGTGTCTCCCATACACCCCGTGTGGAATCACATGCATATCCTGTGGTCAAAAAAATGGCTCAGGGGGGCCGGCCAAGTGGCGCGATGGTTAAGAGCTGGCTTGGGATGCCAGAAGGCCCCGGTTCGGATCCCACATATGAGGGCCAGTGACACTGCCCTCTACAGCTAAGATGCTGAACAACAGCTCAACCTGG